TTTAAGAGTTTTTAAGAGTTTAAGAGTTTTAAGAGTTTTTAAGAGTTTTAGCCAAATGTTTTATAATATAGTATAGATATATATACATATATTTCAAAACGAAAAAGCATATTAGTTTAGAAAATATTACTTCCCAGTTTTGTTAATAATAAGATCAAATGTGTCATCACAATGGTGGTGTCTAATTGGTTTGAGCTTGACTCCAAATGTCAAAAGTGCCCGGAGGTCTCATGTTCAAATTCAAGAATGAACAAAAATATTCTTGTGGCCATGGAGGTTCAAATGCGGTGACTTCGACTACCTGCAAAACATGTGATCGTTCTCGGATTAGTCGGCTCGTATAACGAGTTGGATATTCAGGTTAATAAATGTGTATATATATATATATATATAACTTTGATGGTCCTTACTTGAACAATATTAAAAGCACATGTCTCAAATCTTAAAACATGTCGGTAAATGATACAACAATAAATGATGTTCGTCCTCTCGGAAACATCTGAGTAGTTTCCATTCGACTTGATTAAATGATGTATGGTAATAAAGTCATGATTTTTTTTTTGTATGTATGATATATACACACACATACACATAAAGACATGTTTTGATGAAATTGTTCTTTTTCCTCCAAGTGTATAATTGTTCACATATTGACGTTTGTGTAACACCTGTTTTTCAATATTTAGATGTAATGATTTGTCCAACAAAGGGACTAATGTTGTCAGGTCTCGAAATACACACGTTCAATGACTAAAGTGACATTGGTTGAAAGAAGAGACTCATGTAGTAGTTATAAGAAATACATTCAAATTGAACGTGTGATAACCATAGAAGCAATATTTTAGGTACTGCTTAGAAAGACGAGCTCAGTTCATAACCATACACGATCAAGTGAGTTTCATGCAACTTACGTCATAAAGCATATGTCTGTATGTGTTCTCTTAGAAAGTTGCAGGTAGTGTTTTTTCGTGTTTTCAAATAATTAATATGCTAAAATTATATTTGATACATTGTATATGCAGGGCCGATCCTAAGATTTTTGATGCCCTGTGCGAAAATAATAAAAAATGACCCTAAGCCTATTTGTTAAGCTAATGAAACAACAAAACATGCAATTTTTTAAAGAGTTTAGAACCTATTCAAGTTAAGTATTTCATCCCAATGTTGATTTTTATTAATTATAATAAAAAAATACAACGAGGGATATAAAAACCAAAACTCCGAATACAAAATATAAAAAGATAAAAGGATAATCCTGGATTAAGGTCATGCTTTCTTCTTTTCCAGTTTTTCTTTTTCTAAATTGAAATTAACAAAATAGAAACTTTATTTCAATATATGAAACTTAAAAGACAAGAAAAACTATAATTAGTTTTTAACTAAAATAATAAATTACATCCAAATTACTATCATAGTAAGCAAACAGTAAAACTCAAAAGTTACAGGTCTAACGACTAAAGGCTACAGGTCTATCTGTTAGCAGCTTAATAAGTTTAATGGAACTAACAACTTATTCGCTCAACTATGCATGATTGTTTTGTAGTGATTTAATGATATTGAAAGTGACTTATCCAGTAAGCTTATAGGGGAGTTTATATAGAAAGGCAATTTTTTTTTTCCAAACATGTCCCTTCCAACTAAAAAAGTGCTCCTTACATCTGCGAAAACTCTCTCAAACAAAACTTTTCCAACTCATACAGATATATTAATTCATACATACAACTTTATACAAACAAAAACTTTTCCAATTTTCCAACTTTTTCCAACGATGTGCATTTAGTATTTATCACTACTAGGCCTTGGACCTGTTTTTATAGTTAAAATTCAGTTGTCCAATTCTTAAATTATTAAACCCAAAACTAGTAATAAATGACAACTTGATGCCCCTTTAGGCTTTGATGCCCTGTGCGGCCGCATGGGCTGCACGTGGCCGGGCCGGCCCTGTGTATATGTCATGCATGAAAAACCAATATTTTCAATAGGGTTTAAAAATTCACAACTGTATTCACCTCATACTTTTTTTTAATACCTTATATACTGATGAATTCTTTCGCGTCTTATACATATTATCGTGTCTTTATGAACATGTGTTATTCGTGATTGATATACCAATCACGAATGCTAATAAATAGTCGTAACAAAAACGATGATCGTCAAGAAATGTCAAAAATATATATCTTTATGTCACATGTATAGAAGGGATGATCTAGAAAAAAAACCGACATATTAAGTAATTTTAATTCAGGGGCCATTAATGGTTAACACAAAGTCAGAGGACAACAAGTGTTATCTAATAATACTAGAGGGACTATTAGTGTAAATTATTCAAAAGAGTAAAGCCTACAGGGCAAAAGACAACTGAAAAAACCACCGGCAGATAATACAAAGCCGCGTAATGCTCCGGCCACCGGTGAAAATGTGGCGGCATCATCGCTCAATCGACGTCCACATGAAAACCGCCACCACAATGCTCTTCCTTCATTCTCTAAGTTCTTCTCATACTTTGTCGTTCAAGAAAATGGGAACCATCATCTCACTTTCAACTAACCCTAACGCTATCTTATCCACATCAGGGCCACCACAGAAATCCGTACAGATCAATCCTCGTCGCTCTTCCATAAACCTATGCCGATTATCGCATTCATCATCTTCACCAATTGCACCGACGGGCCGTGGTTACTTGGGCTCTAGTTCGAACTCCATAGTCGCTAAATGCTTTTCTTATTCATCGTCTTCCTCATCTTCCCCATCGGTGTCGGTGGCTGATACGATGGAGTGGCACGAGCCTGCTGCGTGCGCCGAGGTTGATGATTCTTATAATGATGATGTGAGTGAGGAGGACCTTAAGCCTTCGATTCCTGTCAGAGCTTATTTCTTTTCTACCAGGTATGATACCAGTCGCTCAATGTTTGTTTTCCACCTTTATATAGGTTGTGAGTATTAATTGGGTGTTTTTGATGGGCGAAGGATTTAGGTATTTAAATTCACCACATAGCATCAACGAGATCGCGATAATTGAGCATTTTAAAACAATTTCGAGTTCTTCCAAGCGCATATTGTAATTGAGAAGACTAGCTTTGACCAAGAAAAAGTTCAAGTCAATGGCTTATGAAACTAGTTCTTAATCTGGGCAATTGTGAACAACGGAATGAACCACTTTGGCAACAGTAATTTGGTTGTATGCATGTAGAACTAGTTCTTAAACCGAGGAAGAGTGAACAATGGAATGATCCCCTTTGGTTATAGTACTTGGTTGTATGCATGTAGGATAATGGGCCTTTTTGTTTTTCTTTCAATTCAGCAAGTATTTGTGATCAATGAATCTTGTTTAGTACACTGTTTTCAATTTGGCCGAGTAATATCCATTCATTTCCATGGTGACTTTGTGCAGTGTGGATTTGAGAAGTTTAGTGGACCAAAACAAATCAAATTTTATCCCGCCAACATCACGCATGACTAACTATGTTGTGTTGAGGTTTGGCAGCACCAAGCCTGAACTTATTGTAAGTCTGTTCTTGTCATGCGATTCTAATAATTTCAATATGTATGTAAGCATTGTTGTTCTTAGATTGTCTGCATCATTTTTTGAATATGCAACTGGGACGTGCTAAAAATAGGTTGGCGGTTTCATGTGCTAGAGACACAGAGTTTCCTTGGTGTGCCTAGTGTGCCTTTTATCTTGTTAGGCTCTGTACATTCTTTTATAACTCGGTTGTTTATATTGTGCCTTCTAGATAACTTTCTTTTTCTTGATGGTAACCTGCCCGGGTGGGGGGTGTGTCTCGGAAACAGCCTCTGTTCCGTTGGACAGAGGTAAGGTCTTCGTACATCTAAACCAGGCCCTACCTTTGGGTGGGACATACTATGTCTGTTTGGTTTTTCGGTTTTAACTAGGACGTGCTACAAGAATATACCTTTCGAACATTCTGCAAGTGTTGACCTCAATCTGGTTTACTTTTTTTTTATGTTACTTCTATTTCTGTGTCATCTTTGTTGTTTTGGGCAAGTGAAAGTATTTGGGATACTTCTTGAGGATATTCATGCTGATTAGCATTTGATGCTTAGATTGAGGTTAGCCAGGACAACCAGTTGGGGTACATCTGAGTTACCTTGAGAGCATGGCTTCGTATCTACTCAAGATGATCCTTCCAAAAAATCTCTATTATGCTGCTGAAAGGATATTTCAAAAAGTTGGTATTCGATTTCGATTGAAATATCGTTGATCAAAGTATATAACTTATTTTTTGTCATTTGAATGCAGCATGAAGAGAAAAACAAATGTTTGCCAGCTTTTTGCATCCTGTATATGCCCTTTCGCTAATCTGTTGGGGCAAGGAATTTTGATTGGTGTAATATACATCTTTCTAGTTTCAATACAGAGGGAACTGTGGCATCTATCCACATGAGTCAATGGACTATCCTAATCATAAGCAAATATTCATGTCGAGTTATCACTTCCCTGTTGTTATATTTAGCAGAGCAAACAGAACCGTTTTACATCTTTCTGTATTTGGTGCACAATTTTTGAATGTTGATATGCCTGTGATAGTTATATTAGTTGTATTTACAATAGCTCAGTTATGTTTTTCAGGGTTCTGGTGCCAGTATAAGTGGGAGTGACTGCTGTTATATGGTAGTTTTTCAGTATGGTTCAATTGTCTTGTTTAATGTTCGTGATCATGAAATTGATGGTTATCTGAAAATTGTTGAAAGACATGCTTCAGGATTGCTACCTGAGATGAGAAAGGATGGTGAGGTCCCATTAAAGATGTTCAAATCTATGTTTATAATGCAAATCCTTATAATCATTCTTTTCTTTTCATATGTGCCTTACATAATTTGTATGCTCAAGTGCATTATAAGTTCAACGGTTACTGATGTGTAACTTGAAAAGAAAGAATGTTACATGGTTGTGACCACTTAGTTTTGTTGAATTGCCAATAATAATGACATGTTGAAGTTGTGTACATTTGTGATTGGGTTATTTATGCCTGCTTCCTCTTCTTACCATCTGTAAGGATGTTCCTTTCATCGTTGGTGATATTGGCAAATTAGATGCATGTTTGTTAGCTATATCATTTACTTCATCTTCATATTGAAATCTAAATTTTTCGAGCTTCACTACTTATAATACTCAGAATATGAGGTCAAGGAGAAACCAATGCTGAACACATGGATGCAAGGTGGATTAGATTATATAATGCTGCAGTATTTGAATACTGATGGGATCCGTACAATTGGTAGTGTTCTAGGTCAGAGTATTGCTCTTGATTACTATGTTCGCCAGGTAGGTTAATACTGTACTCTGTATCTAGTTTCTCGTTGTAGAAAGGAATACGCAGTGCATTTTATCATTTTCTTAATTCTTCGTTTTAGGTTGATGGGATGGTTGGAGAATTCACTGATATTAACCGTGGTATGGAGAAAACTGGAACCTTCACAATGAAGAGGAAAAAGTTGTTTCAATTGGTGGGGAAGGCAAATTCAAATCTTGCTGATGTGATTCTTAAGCTTGGACTTTTTGAGAGGTACCTTTGAAATTGAGAGGAAATTATGCTTTTTTTGTGTAATTTTTTCACTACCATGTGCATAGATTTTGACTTGCATAGCGAGCCTTAATGAAGTTTGGCAAACAAACAACATCAGTTAATTATGGCCTTATGGGTTCAACTGTTGAACCGAAGGATTAGCCTGTATTTATCTTATTAAATGCAAGGATATTCCTTCATTGGACAAGACCAGGCAGTCCTCAAAAATTCTATTCATGTTTTTGTAGGCTTGCTTTTACCATTCAAAAAAATTATTTAGCCTGCCCAGTTTGCTTTCCTGGTCTTCCATTCAATTTTTATCATTTGATGTATTTAATCATGATTGTGACTATCGTCTCTCACAATACTGTTACTGCAGTAGAACTGCAATGAAGTGCTGTGTCTTGATCTTGAAAGCCCACAATCTTTTGCTTCTTATAGAAGACAAAACTGTTGTTTGATTATTAAAATTTTAAAACGGACCCTAAAATTGGAGAAAGAAAGCAGTAATAGTATTTTGTTTTTATCATGATATCAACAAATCGTCTCACATATTCAGCAATAAAAAACAAAACATGAGTGAAATTACATTCTTTATTTAAGATAATGTACAACAGGTTGTGCAAAGAGAACAGAAATAGAAATTATTACCTGAACATTTAGGATTCACAATAATTTCTTACATCCTTGGGAAAATCTTCCATGTAGCACATCCACCCATCATTAAGTACATTAAAACTGCATTACTGCAGTTTAACATGTTGGTTCGGTTGAAAGTCAAAAGACAACGTGGTTGTGTCCATTTGGTCAATCATGCCCATATGGGTCTTCACATTTCTGAGTTTTGTTTCTATAAAACAATAAAGGACTAACTGCTGAATGAAAATTATCTGCGGTTGCTCAGATCTGATATTGCTTGGAAGGATGCTAAATATGCTCAGATCTGGGAGTATCTCAGGGATGAATTTGAGTTGACTCAGAGATTTGCTAGTTTGGATTTCAAATTGAAATTTGTGGAGGTAAGATATCATTTCACTTGAACTTCTTCCATTGTTTGCTTAATTTGCTGGGGACTTGCACTTGATCCGACTGTGATGGTGATACTTCATTTTCTTTTTCTTGCAGCACAATATTCGTTTTCTTCAAGAGATCCTCCAGAACAGAAAATCAGATTTTCTGGAATGGGTCATTATTATACTCATTGTTGCTGAAATTCTTATATCTGTTTATGATATTGCCCATAAGTCTGTTGCATCTCTATAGCTTTGGTTTGTGTATCACTTGAAGACTGAAGAGAGTTCTACTCTAAACTTCTTGATGCTCAGGTGCATTGTGTATACCTATATAGAGGGTTTTCTTTCATCATTTTTTCTTCTTTATCCATCTGTTTTACAGGGCCTCTGTCTCTATTCCCCCTGTTCCTTTTTCTTGTAAATTGAAGTTTCGAACATGCTGCGTGGATTATAAATCACTCTACAATTTTTGAAATGCACAATTGACTGTTCTTAAAAAGGTTTAGTGTTCTCAAAATGTTCTATTTTATGCATGTATGACTTCATCTTTGCTTGGTAATCCGTATTCACTTTTTCATGTGTTAACTTTTTGCAAGCTATTTTTTTTTCCTTGTTTTGCCTTAAGTGGGAAAGAACATTCTAACTTGCTATCACAGAAAATAGTTTGTTAACTACTTCTATCGGCTGGTAGCATTCAATGGTAATAACTTTTGCCAAATGGGTGCTTGATGGTTGAAAATGGTACCTGCAAGTAATCCTGAGATGGAGGGTGATTCAAGACAGACCAAGGCTTTGGTAAATGCATCTTGCTTACCTTTGCAACAAAGTCTTAAATACAAGTTTTAATGCATAAGGTACTGCCTATTAATGCATAAAGTCTTAAAATCTCTTAATTACAACATATAAAGCTAGATATACAACTTTTCGAGGCTTCAATAAGGTTTTTCTTTCCAAAGACTGGCCGCTCCAATTATTCATTCCCCAAAACGACTATTCACAAATCCATCTTCCCAGACGACGATTGACGCTCCCGGTGTGACGATTCCTTGTTCAGATCCATCTTCCCAATATATACATTAGGGTTCTCTCGTTATACAATTCTTTGCTTTCGTCTCCATCTTCTTTATTGCTCTATCTTTTCCATCGCTATTTCAGGTAAGTTTTATTGATTTTTATCGGTTAATGATCTGGGTTTTAAGCATGAATGAGCTGGCACCGTGCGATTAATAGTGAGTTCGTTATAGCTTTTAATCATCTTTATGGAAAAGGGAGTGGGATGAGCAATTAGGGTTCTTCCAACAACTCTTAAGTAGTTAGGACCAAATACTTAATTTAGGACATCGGTTCTCTCCATCTATATTAAAAAAAATTGCATTTTAATGTTGAAGTGGAATTCTAAATTGAAAAATCTTTCTTAATTACTGTTAGAAGGTTGAAAATGATATTATGAATACTGTTACCAAGTTGGGGCAAAAAGGTCAGCATATATTTGAGTCATGATTGGTTTGATCATTCAAATTAACCACAGAAGGCATTATTCTTATTTGCTGACAGGCAAGTAATGCATACTTCTTGCAACTTCTTTTTATATCATCAAATTACTGAGCCTGTACAATAAACTGTGTTATAGTTTTCTACGTTTATTGCCTTTTAACTGATGCTGTTAATCCAACTAGCAAATATTGTAAATTTCATGGTAAAGCTACAAGAAATTTCCTTTGAGGCTCTGTAAAGCATGTACAGACAGTGTGCCGGATCTCAGTTCCAGGCTTCTTGGGAAGTGTTGAGGATCCACCGTCAAACTCTCTGAAAGACAGGAAAAGTGGTCCCCGATCCACCAAGCACTAAAGATGTCAATCATTTATATGAGTTTTTGATAAAAGGTAAGTTTTGATGCCATTAGATTTATATTGTGATTGAAGTTTCGGTCTTTTTTATGTATGAGATAGTCGATGACCTTAGACGCCTTAGATTTCCAACTTTGTGCAATATCAAACTTGTTGCTTTCACTGGAGCTCCAATGAGCACAGCGTGTGGAATTCCTAATTATGGAAGGTACTCTCAATCTGTATATACAACATCTTGAATCAACAAAAACATATCCATTGAACTTGTATTACAAAATAAGCTCAAGATGTATATAATATTTGTCATGTGATTATATCTTTGACCAACTGCTTCTTAAAGAGATTCCAAGGATACATTTATACACATCTTTTCACCCATTCTTATGCTATGAAGAAGGCACACAATTCTTTGCTGTTATATTTAGCTTTCCCGGATTCATATTTTGTGTTCATAAAGGGGCATATAATGTTTAGCAGTTTTCCCCTGCTAATTGTTTGCTTGTGTGTGCTTAGTTCCTGATTTAGAGACAACTTCTTTTACCCCTTGCTGTAGATTTTAACATTGTGATCATGTTAAATTCATTCGTCACCCAAGTAGTAACAACATTATCTTTTCCCTTCTCCCTTCCCATATGACCGCAGCCTGAATGGACCTTTTAGTACTGGCTTCAAACCGATTACATATCAGGTGATTTGGCTTCAAACTTGTGATTCCTTCACACTTTTATAATTTTTCTCATCCCATCCTTTGTATTACAATGGGGTTGGATGTTACTTTGATGGATCATAATGGATTATTGGATCGTAGTATTTGAGGTATCCCTAACAACTATTGGACGGTGCTCAAGGAAGAGGCCTTCTCACACACGAACCCCCTGTAGGTCCATCAAGTTATGTGTTGGGATCCCTTTCCCTTGAGATTTACGGATACCTCGAATACTAACAAGTTAAGCAATGCTGATCTGTTTGGCTTTAGTGTTCTATTTTCTGGTTCTGCAAATATTGGTATTTATCAACACATTATCACCTATTTTTTGACCTCTTACAACTTGTGTTATGCAGTTTTAAATTATGACAGTAGTTTTAGATGGAATCTCTGTACTCAGGTACTCTGTATTTTTTTATCACTAACTGACACTTGCTATCTCTTCTTTTTATCACTAAATTTCTATAATAACATGAGAGGCTCCATCTACATCCAACCTTCTTTATGTATTCATTGGATTTAATGATGCCTTTGTTTTGAGTTGGTAGCTACTGTTCTGCTTCAATTTAAGCTGCTAATATACTCGAATTTTGTTGTCCAGATGTCAGGTTTGCAAGTGAAGTAGTGGGAATGCAAGATCTTGGAATGTTGGGGTGTGGAAGCGGAGAAGAAATTGGCACCTATGTTTATAAAGCTCATGATATCTGTCCTGTTGGAGCACTCACCTTGAAGCCATTTGCTTTTAATGCTTGGAACTTGGAGCTGAAAGGCATTGAGAGCATTGATGTTACTGATGTAGTTGGTATCAGAAGTAATGCACATTGTACTGTGTTTAAATGAGGTACCATCTTTTCCATCTTTATGTTCATAACAAATTTTGAAAATCGAGCTTAAATTCTTCATGGGGTTATTCGTTTAATCCAACTCCAAGAAATCTATTGATGTTCCCATTGCTATTACGATACTAAGAAAAATTCTTTTAAAAAAACTGTTCAAAATAAAATCTTTATTTGGTTTAACCAGTAACTTGCATGGAACAACCTGAATCTGAATAACTTGAAACTAATTAAACCAAACCTTATTTGGTTTGGTTACCTTGTAATTTGAAAATTAAACCAAACTGAATAACCAAAAATCAAAATAACTTACCGAATAAACTGAAAATCGAAATAACCTACCGACCTGGGATTGATAATTTTGTTTGATTATGGATATAGTATTTTCATGATATGATCAGGTTGTCGTTTTATCCAATAGCATGTGGATTCACGAGGCACCTTGGTACAAGAAACGTTGGCAAAACTCTTGTTACTTGCGCTTAGGGTACAAAGTTATTTTTTTGTCTTCGGTTTAGCATGTGGATTCACGAGGCAACTTGGTACAAGAAATGTTGGCAAAGCTCCTGTTATTCGCGCTCAGGGTATAGAGTTATTTTTTTGTCTTCGGTTTGTAGATTTCGACGATCATTTTGGTTGTCTTTCTTACTTACGTGTTTGGGTAGATTGCTTTAGACATTGTATTTTACATTTTACAATTTCTGTCAATGGAACCACAAAAAGCAAGCCTGCTTGTAAACTACGTTGTTATAACGAGCACATGATTTATCCGGGCCTTAATTTAAAGGGAATAGATTTTAACACATTATCTGCCTTGATATTTCACAAGGACTGGGCATAGGTTGGCTGTAAATTGCTGATATTGAGTGTAACTTTTGTTTGAGGACTAGATAAAATGGAACAATGGTTCTGAAAACCCATTTTATCGAGTTTGTAACCCAGTACACATAATAATGCTTGGGATATTATAATGGAGAAATTGTATTTTCTCAAAAACTTGAATTTAATGAAGTCCAATTAGACCAACACGAGTTTGGTGTGAATTTCTAGGAATCAGAGAGATTTTTCTTTTTATATGTTTCTCTGTGCCTGTCTCTTGTTATGTGGCTTGCTTTTTACCCATTTGGTTCTTCTTTTCCCCCCCCCCCCCCCCCCCCCCCCCCCAAAAAAAAAGCATGACTTTGAGTGGGTAATATTGGGTTTGGTTTGGTTTAGAGCATGTATCAACTTGCAACATTTCAAGAGCTTAAATAGATTTTGGACTAATGTTACTATCTTAAAAATCATTAATACCATTCTTTGGACTATGACTATCATCTGGCAGACCTTAATTTTATTGTGATTAAATATTTGTCTTGGGAGTTTCTTTATGGTATCTGATGATTGCTTTCTGTAATCCCAAACTAAGTTTTAATTTGGCACTTTCTGTAATCCCAAACCCATCTGCATATGTTAATTTTTTTTTGTTTACTATGAATGGTTTTTTTGATTACTGAATTGTAAGTGGTATACTCTTTTCAGAGGGTTGAAGCAAAACTTTTGATAGAGGATTTGGAGGGAGCTGTTGCAGATATAAAGTCAGCTGCTGAAAAATCACCTCAGGTTAGCTTTAATAATTGTTTTCTGGAATCCCAAATCCAGTATGGGCTGGTTTTAAACTGTGGCAATTTTAAACCAACTGTTGCAAGCTAAACTCTTGAAGTTATTTTTTTTTTGGGTTATCGGATATAAATTTGAACACTAACTAATCCGCAAATGTGTCGTCTTTTTTCTCTCTGTTGTGAATCTGGGTAACTTCTATGGACTAACTAATACGGAAATGTGTCTTCACACACTTTAAAATTACTCTTGATCACCAAAATGGTTTAAACGTACTTTTTTGCTCTTGTTCTTCAGGTGCATTTATTCACCAAGGTTTCCTTATGTTGGATACACATCCAAACTCACTCCTGTCACCATGCTAAGTTCCTTCCGAGAAATCATTTTACCTGAACTTTGTTTTCTTGTTCTATTGTCTGTCATGTCAAACTTGTGGCTACCATTGGTCTTTTACATCCCACGATAATTTTGTTTTCAAGGGTTACAGTTTGGGAGTCAAACAATCGTGACCCAGAGACCATCAAATGCTTGAATTTTGAATTGCACAAAACTATGTTCCTGGTTGTTGACATTATGTTTGCTTGTGTGTATTTCCAGATTGCAGATACGATGTTAAACCATCCATATAATGTGCTGTCAATTATGAAGTTTGTGATCCAAAAAATAATATAGGCTCACTTCCCTTGAATATGCAAATGCCCTTAGCTTTGAATATGGTTATTAGGTTATACCATCAATTATATTGTGAAAAGTAGTTGTCTTGACCAAATTGAACGATGATCTTCTAGAACCTAAATTTTCTTGAAATTGAAATACTTGTATGCTCTTGAAACAGGAAATAGAATACCGTAATCAAAGAACTTTTCAAAAGTATCGAAAAGTTAAGGCTGAAGTTTGATTCAATTGAGAGGCCAAATGCAGAAATGGAGAATCCCGATTAAGAAGAGGAGACACAAGGGACTGATACAAATACTAATCCCCAAACATTTATTGTAACTTTTTTTGTATATCTTGCCTTAAAAAAGATCGATGAGAAAATTTGTTTTTTTTTAAGATGATTGTAAAAGCTATTAAAACCAACATTTTGATGGATGCCTATTTGAATCTAATGCAGGTACAATTGAAGTAAGTTTTATGACATCTAGAAAGAATTTGAAATTTCAAAATTGAAAAAATCTTAACTAACCTTTTGCATCTGCTACATTGCACGGGTACACAACTAGTTATCAAAATAATGAAACTAAAACTAGTTGTGGGTCCAAAACAAGGATCACGATAATGAATCTGAAACAGCTTGCTTGATGTACATATTATTTTATCATTGAACACCTTTGTAAGAAGAAAATGAGGGGGGAATGTCCTATTGTGTTCCACCTGGAGGGTGAAATCCGACAGCATTTATTTAAACTGGAACAGTGCAGTAGAATGTTCAGGTTGCTGGCTCCATTCTGTGAGTTTTTCTGCTGCAGGGCAACGTATACTGGAACTCAATTTGCAGGAGTTGATGAAGAGGAGCTTTGCCATTTATCCCCTTCTCAACACTGTTCTGCAGTTCCCCTAGTGGTATGGCAGCGAGAAATCCCTTGATAAATTCTTTACAACAAGTTGTTCCCTTACATACAAACCCTGGATCATTTTCTTTCTCATGTTCTTCTCTTATAATACTTGAATGGTTATCTAAACCTTTATCTGCTTCTAACTTTGAGTTGTTCATCTCTGGTTGCACATTGTGGATTATACTGTCTTCATTGAACCTTAACATGTAGGCTTTATTGCACCCTTCAGTGAGCCTTTCTCCCAGTGTGTCAATCATATAAATTGCAGCATATTCTTTTTTGAGAACAAAAAAATGGTCATTCCAACTCACAATGTAGACACATTCTTCTGTAGTTGATTCCCCATGTTCTAGCTCATCCCATATACTGTCAAAAGACATTGCATCTTGCAAGAGATCTAAGTTGTTTGTATTTTCAAGCTTAAAGAAGCCCACGTAGGACTTTTCAGATATCACCTCCAATGGTCGAACTTGTGCCTCCATGACCGTGTCAAGGTCAAAATGCTGATCTTGAAACTTACCCTTGTGAGTTTCGTCGTTACACAGGTTTCTCCATTCTTTTGATCCATCTCTAACCAGTTTATCAAATTCGCATCGCAATGGTAAAGTATTGGGATTTTGATGCAGCCAGTCAGCAATAACCGTGGCAATCACTGTGCATGCTCCTCCTCCTAAAGCTTTCTCACTCCTCTGGTCAATCGTGGCCAGGAATATTTCTGTCTGCAGTTCCAGTTTTCCATCTCTGCTTTTCACTCTTCTCTTTTCCCACTTGCCCACCTCAAATCTATCGCTGCCTGAGAATTCACTAGGTTTATGATCTCTTTTGACCAAATCTTGCCGCGGTTTTAGGTACGACAGTAGGCTTCGACGTGCGTTATCAATATCATCACCTCCTTCACCACCATATGCTTTGTTCAGGAGTGGTGCATCTCTGGGCTTTCTAATATTCCATGACAGAAGCCTCATTAGCTTCGTTTTTTCTGTACCCTCATAACTTAAAGATTGTTCTTTGCATTGCTTTCCATATTCAATACTTTCATGCATAGATTGACTTCTTAATAGATCCATGGTCTTTATCCTTTGATAGCTTGAATCAGTTCCTTCAGTTTCAGATTCGGAGCTCTCCTTCTCCTTCTCCTTCTCCATCTGCATCTCCATCTTGTTTCTTGTTTGATTTTGAAAACTTACACATGATAGAAGGGACGGGAGCAGGTGTGTTGGAGATACAGGGTGCACAGTGTTTTCTGTTTGCAGTTTCTTTACTTCAGTGACATCAAGTTTTACCTGCAATTTTCATTCGGTTATATTTCAGGTTCAGTGGAGGTATATAATCTAGCCATGCTTGCAAAAATATACAGGTACCTTTAGTCTGGCCTCATGGATGAAGCCACCAATGGAGCACTGGACCGGAAGTTTGACCAATTTTTCTGAATGGCCAGTGAATTCAGTGACATCCAATTTGACTCTAGCCAATATATCAGCTTTGTGGTTTGATTCCACATCTATCCCCTGGTAATTTCTATGCATATTTAGATACTGGTATAAGCATAAAGGGGCAACAATCTTACTATTATGAGGGTTGTACTCTATGCATGTTGAGTTGTGTTTTTATACTTACATGAACCTTGAGATTGATCTTCCAGCTTCCAGGACCCGGACCCTTCGTGCCCAAGTTGCAACTCTGCTGAAAACCCTCGTTCCAGAAGACACGTCCATCATCGTTTACATTCTGTTTGGAGGTACGATTTCTTTGAGTCGCTATTCTGGGTACGTAACCTCTTCTGGGAACTTGTAGTTTTATGTGCACTTGCATCTTATAGTTATCTTTGTTTGGAATATCATCGACAACTAGGCCTTCGAGCTCACAGATATTCAGATGGAGCTTGAAGTGCTTAGTGTCTGATGTTTTACAAAACATCAAGTTCCTCATCTTTGATCTTTTTACCTGAATCGGTGGGATGAGTGAATAAATGCGAAGTAGTTGTCTTTATTGTGAATAGATGAGGTTTTCAGGGTGTTTGACATTCACAAAGTACGGATTCAAAGTCAACTTGTTGATATGTTAGAAAACTGAATACATTAATTTTGGTGATTATAAAATAAGGAGCATGTCTCATGTTTATGACTTGTTCAGTACCTACTCTCATGCCTTCTAGATTTTGTTGAATTTGATAAGTTCCTTGCTTAGGAAATTTGATGATAATTAAGATTCTAACCTTAGAACAACCCTTTATTCTACCTGTATCTTTGAAGTTTTAAATGGAGTAATCCGACTTTTTAAGTTGTATTTGTTTTTCCATTGCAAAATAAGCCATCTTTATTGAATGGGTTTTGGATCTTTATGTTCATTAGTTTGTATATTGTCCTTTGAACATTTCTATAAGAACCATTGTTAGTGTGTGATGGAAAATCAAATATCATAGTTTAAAACACATTGAAGTTTTTGTGACATTAGACAATGAGAAGGAGGTTCAAACGAGAAAAGTAACCAAATAAAAGAACACGGAAACAGTCAAAATATGTGGAAAATTACATGTGATTTGATTTGATTGAGATTTGATTGTTTTCTTATTCTCTTATTTGGATAATGTTCTCGTATGAATCTAACTTGGGTAACAAATTCAATATATCTTATTCAAAAGTAGTAGTGTTTTTGTGGGATATATATATATATATAGGCGAAAGTTCAAATAAGAACCTCTCTATTTTGCGGAAATGCAAGAACAGTTGTGGGTTCTAATCTCTTTAACCAATAATTTAAATTATAATAAATAAAAATAAATCAATAAGGGTAGTAATGTAATTAGGTATTTTTTTAATTTTTTTTATGTTATTTATATTAATTGTAATTATTCCATTCTTTAAAATTGGAATATTTTCACGTCAATCACGTTTCCTTCGTTTTATGTATCTGCATATTCAATCATATTGTGGTATTATCAGTTTCAAATTCCTTTTTCAACCGAGAATGGAAGATTCCAATGGTTTTGGAAGGAAGCTATTGTGATATCATTGTGATATTTGTGTGAGAGAGTATTGAATATAGCCCATGTTTGATTACTCTATTGTAATATTGATTATGTTGTGATAAATATGTGATACATTTGAATACAATCCCTGTTTGATTACTCTAATGTGATATCATTGTGATATTTGTGTGATAGAGTATTGAATGTAGCCTTGTTCAATTACTCTATTATGATATAGTTGTGATCTTTGTGTGATAGAGTATTGAATACAACTCATGTTTGATTATTCTATTGTGATATTGATGTGCTATCTTAAATATGTGATACCTTTGAATACAACCCATGTTCGATTACTCTATTGTGATATTGATTGTGCTCTGAATCTGTGATAAATATGTGATACACTTGAATACAACCCCTGTTCGATTACTCTATTGCGATATCAAATGTGATGTGATATACATGTGATACAACCTTAATCAATGACAAACAATAATCGAGCCCTAATCACTGGATAACCATCGTCGACGATGTTATCACTTCCCCGATGATCGGAGTAATCGTGATTGTGGTATCCGAATGTTATCACGTGAGACCAGCCTGTTTTTGTGAGACCAGCCTGTTTTCGTGAGACCCGTGAGATCATTTTTTACACTTGAAACTTCACAGCAAAACCTTGTGAATGTAACCTTCACTGTGTTTTTACTGTGAAGGTTCGACTTTTCTTTTACATTCACAGCGTTTTGCTATGAAGTTTCAAGTGTGAAAAAATGGTTTCACGGATTTCATAAAAACAAGTTGGTCTCACGTGAACCCAACCCTATATATATTGAAGCTTAGTTGCGGGAGCAATGACCCTTTTGAACGTGAGTAGGCAGAAATTCCATTTACACCGCTTGACCTTTGTGTTGAAGAATAGTAATGTTTCCTTATTACTTGGCTTTTGAAAGTCAATGAAGTTGATATCTCAACTCACATGTATACCAATTGTCTTATCGTATTAAGAAAAGGGTACTCATGAAGTCTTTGAATAATAAATATATGATTTGCTTAGAGGTTATGACCCACAATTACTACCTTCATTGTTGGAAAGATGGTCCAAATTGATTAAGTTCCTCTCCGGCTTGAATATTCGACTCGTCATGCTATTGCTTTTCGTACAACATTGGCCCTTCAAGGATTATTTCAATCTTATATACTACTACCGGATGTTCATTAGATCATATTAGATCCACATTTTCAATCAATTATTTATATACATGTACACATGTTTTCCTAATTTAACAGTTATTTGCTTATTGAACATAATGACTAAATACAGTTTTTAATGTTTGTTTTCTTGAAAACGTGTTTGCCATTCTCAAAGTTTCTTTATGATATTTTGTTTGTGATTCCAATGTAGCAAATGGTATTTTGTTTATGGTGCTATAACACAAACAAATTCAATAGGACCATCTTCATCATCCTTTTTCTTTATTTTCCGAATCTAGAGCTAAAATAATCTTTAATAATTTTAAATCTGGAGAAATACCTAACTCAATATTGAAAGAAGATAAATTTATTTTAACTGTTTATTAATATTTTATATAAAGTTTTTTTTAAAGGTATATTATGATGACAAATTAATAAAATATTTAATAATATTATTAACACCAAAATCCTTAAAAAGGAGGAAATAGCTAGTTCGGAGATACATGGTGTGTTTGTTATACTAGACATGATAAAATAGAATCAGATACTTGTTTCATATTTGACAAGACTTTTATGTGAAACAAAGATGAACAAATTAATATATTTTATCAATATGACATTAAATTAAAATTAATTTTTTTATAAAACGTCAAATATGTATCTCTATTTATGTTTTATTTATTATTTAAATTTTATTTATTGTATTTTATATTATTTAAATTTCACTTTAAAGTCCTCGAAATATTTTTTTTATACTGTAACAGTATTTTGGTTAATTTAATAAATTTTAATAATAAAAAAAAGTAATAAAGAAAAATTTTAAAATAAAAATTGAAAAATACATAAACTTTTTATTTTGATGTCATTTTTAATCGTATTGATAAAATCTTTCTAATGACATATTTTGTTATAAAAATATTTATTTTATTATAATCTAATAAACTATACAAATTAATTAAAACATATAAAAGATATAAATAATTCATTAGTAGTAAATTGGTTATTTTATTTATTTTATTCTACTTTGTCCTATCTTTCTGAATACCAAACGATACAAATCTCAAGATGAAGTTTCAACCATGTTTGATCAGGTTCATAGCTACAATTGGTCTATGTGGAAATGATGTATAATACAATACGTTTTATTATTTTCATATAAAATGAGGAAAAATTGATAAAAAGACCGGACTGACCTTGAGTTAACAAAACATATTAAGGGGTCATTTACCAAACGCTTACCCAGGTAAGTGTTTACCTAATAACATTATCTCACCGCATGAATATGGTAAAGATCAAGAATCTTATCCGGTAAGAGCGAGACAAAGACCAAGAGTCTTACCCGGTAAGTGATGACGACAACTCTTACCACGATAAGCGCTTACTGGGTATATTGTTGCATACGATGTCGTTTTGGTGAACTAAAATCTTACCCGGTAAGTCAATAATAATGTTAAATTTTACCGAAAGCATTTACTAGGTAAGTGTTTGATAAACGACCCATAAGTAGAGTTTTAAAATGAAAACCACAAGGTCCTTTTCCATAATTATCTTATTTTAGGGACAGATGACCATGGAAGGGGGGTATAACCATCCTGAAATAGATCTCACACCTTACTTTTGGGCCTATATGTAAATGATGTTTCAAATGAGGGACTAATGTTGTCATTAACAAAAAGTTTCCAATCTTAACTTGATGCTTATTCCCCAGATAATGTCATTGCTTCTTCTTCGGGAAAAGAAATTCACGACCCATGGGCCTTCTACCTCCACGTGGCATTGCTCTGTCAAGCTTTCGAAGAATTCCTCGAAAAGTTAACGATTAGTATTTTTTTTAAGAAATCGAATGGATTCGATCTTATACATACACGAGGAAGGTAATCAAAAAAGAAAGAAGCTCCGGTCTTAACACCCCCTACTACTGCAGTACATCCTTTCCTCAGACAGTTGTCTTGTTGTCGCATACGGAGGCGTAGGTGACTTCGGCGCCCCCACATATTGTGTATGTGTTATTTGTTGAAAAAATCTTTAAGATATGATTCCAATGTAAAAAATCATGTTTTTAAAAGATCACATTTGTATTAAAAAAAGAAAAAAGTACATGCCCCATTAAATTTAAAAATATTAAGTGGTTGAAGTAGTAAAATATGGTCTACAGTAATCAACCATTCGTATGAATTTTTTTAACCGAAGAAACTCAAAAGAAAAAAAATTTAACGCCAAAAGCTTTTATATTTTATAGATTACAATATTAATTGTATTATTAGTTTTTTTTAGTACATTTAATAGAATATCAAATAAAATTATAATTAGTTTTTGTTGTATTTAGAAAATATATTTTTCTCTGTTTTATTAATTGTTGGGAATTTTGTTTGGTCAAATTACAGTTAAATATGAAGAACATTAAGAGGTTCTTTTTTAAGAAGATTTATTTTCTATATATTAACGAAATAATTTTATTACTATAAACTTTATAAACAATTTTTGATCAAATTAAATGGAGAATAAAAGTACGAGATCTTATTTACGTCATCAAATCTAAGGAAGAAAACATCAGAATTTGGATCATCGCCTACCACTGGTTTCGTTGGAAAACCATTTATCAATAGAATTTTGAAAGAAATGATTTGCCTGTATCTTTTGACCGATAAGTAATCTTGAAAGGACTTTACAGATATAAGTATAAACCATAATTTCTTTGGAATATCAGTACAATATCGAGGGTTTTCTAATATGATTTCGATCGATTTTCGACAATGCTATCCGATTGTTTTGCAAGGGCTTCGACCAACGAATTTTAACTTAATAATTATTAAAAGAAACTACTTTTCTCACGGATATCCATAGAAAATCTAATATTTATTTTTGAAAAATATAAAAAGGTATAAATTGACATGTCCACATGCAAAGGGAATAATTATACACAACGCCATGGCTCTCAAACCTCACATATGTAGCACGCTTACCGTAAAGTCTCTTTCATTTAATTTACATCCTTATTACATTAACATACATAATTGTATACGTTTTAATTTTAACAAGTTACATTATTATAATCTTTTCATCAATACTTTTAAAATATGTCCAGCAATTGAATATTTTTTGATTTAATCATATTATTATCCAATAATTTCTTAATACTAACATTTTGTACCCTTGTAGTTATTTTTTTATTAACATGCATATCCAACCCGCTATGCGAGCCGACTAATCGCAAGACGACCACAAGAGAATTTTTATTTTTCATTGGATTGGAACCTGGGACCTCCAGACACTTTTGACATTTGGAGCCCAAA